TCTTATGTGGATCAAACAGGCATTACAATCAAGTTATTAATCACAAATTACTTTGATCAAGTAGAACTATTTCGTATATACTTCATGAATTTTAATATTTCTAGTGGCAATTAAATTCAATTCATTTTCGAGGTTTCTTAGATTTATTTGGTTTCTTTGATTTTTTTGGTTTCTTTGGTCTCGCTAATTCTTCCAGTTTATCCATTGGCTTTGAGTTCAATTGTTTATCCACTTTCCTTGTTGACAGTTCGTTCGATGATTTAACCAATTTACCCGTTGAATTGAAGTTGAATTTTCGATTAATTTTAACCAATGGATTTGAAATCAAAGCCCTAAATAAATTACTCAATAGTTCTTTTGATTTAGTTGGGTTGATTTGGGTTCGTGTATCCATTTGAGGTGATATTGGAGGTTCAACAACCATTATAGATTCTTGACTAGCAACAAGTTTTTTCGTATTTTTTGTGCTTCTCTTGGATTTCATCTTTTCTCCGAGCTTATCCGATTGTTTCTTACCATGCTTTGTACGAGCTGGTTTTTGATTCAATGATTTAACCAGTTTACTCGATGATTTCATTGATTTAGCAATGTCGTTTTGGACTTGTGCGTTCATTTTAGGTGATATTTTTGGATCAACATGCTTAATAGACCTTTGGCTTTCAACATGCTCTGCCGCTTTTTTTGAACCAGAAAATATTTTGACCAAACCCGATTGCTGCTTATTACACATTTTATAAGCTAAAAATAAACATGCGCTCATAAGCAAACTTGCAAATAATATAAATATTATTGCAAATGTATTCGTAGCATTGGCTGCATTGAATGCAGCAATATTAACCTTATCAAAAGACACAGTGCTCATGCTATAAACATCTGCATAATTATCGTTAACCAGATTTAAAACGATATTGAATTCGCCCGACTCAACCAACTTCAAAGAGCATTCAATGACTGCTCCATTTATTGTGATGTTGGTACAACGATTGTGTGGACCAGCTCTGATGATAAGAGTTTCTTGTGATTCAGTTATAAGCAGCGGTTCATCTAATATAATCGTCAAAGTTTTCGGTAACGATGAGTTGAATATTGAAGGTGAAATGTCGATGATTTTGAAACAGTTATTGAAATTGGATTCAATCTTAGTTTTGGGTTGATGATTGATAGTTGCATTTGTGCAAGCTGAATTTGACCAGACACAGTCAATACTCGAACCATACATAAAGCATTGAGTGCAAGTTGTAAGACGACTACAAAGTGGAATATCCCAGGTTGGTATGATTTGATTATACACGTTGGTTAAGTAATAGCCTTCGAATGGATGTTTATTGATATGGAAAATCTTTACGGAACCAATAATGAAGTTTTCCCATAGATCGGTTTCAAATTGAATATCAGTTGTTGATGCATAATACGAAAAAACGTGCACCACGATAGGAGCAAAAGGAGAAACTTTTGTGTAAACATTTAAGGTATTTGCATAAAATGGAAATGATAGTACAAATTTATTCATTTTAAGGACTTGATTTTTGTTTACAAACATTGTAGACGGTAGCTTTCCAATCACGGCGAGATTCGATATATCCACTGAAGGAACAATATTTCCTTTCGTTAAACAGCTTTCATGAATAGTTTTTTTACAAACACCAACTTCTGATCTTATATGGTGGCGTAACAAAGTGACATTATTGGCACCTGAAGAACATGATTTTGCAGTTTGCTCGAACAACGGAAAAAGATGATCGAAATAGTAATAGACAATAATTGCGCTTTGATTAGACAAGTGCTGATTCGTGCACAAGTAAAAGCTTTTTGATTCATTGTCATCATTGTAAGATTGAGAAAAGTAAACAAAAATTACTTCATGCAACTCATTCGCATCGAATTCTGGTCGAGTAAAATGCATCTCGACCGCACTTGAAATAAGTTCACTTCCCCTGTCGAGACACAATCGCATTATTGATATCTCATGAGTAATATCAGAGACTTTTTCGTCCCATATACTCCGCATTATTAGAAGGTACAATTTATTGTCGAAATGAATATAATCTGTCATTTTCCATATCGCAATGTACTTCCAATCATCTTGGAACGCCGGTAAACATCGAATCACTGAAACTTTTTCACTTTCAACATCGAAATGCAACAATTCCAGATAATTCCAATCAACTGGTGGTTCTGTTAAATCTGGATTGAGTATTGTTGGAACATGAAGAGCTTCATCATCACCAAAAGCTATTATTGGACCAGTTAATTTACCAGAATATGTCATATTTTTGATAGTCTTTTGATTAATCAGCATTTGAGGTATATTTTGATGGACAAACATCAATCGATCTTTATCGACATTGATTACTTTCCAATTGACGAGTTCAGACACATTAACTACACTTTTTGATACATTAATGTAAATGGTCTTGCCAACAAGATAAATGCCATAATATGTTGTACTATTGTCTTTATCTGTCAAGAAGACATTACTCGGTGTTTTGTAATAGAAAATCATATCGTGTTTTGGTGTTCTGAATGAAACGATTTCACTGAAGAGACAAATTACAATAGTTAATAAAAAATATGAAATGGACATGACAAATGTCTCTTTACAAAAGTCAAAATAAGATTCCTTGACAAGACAACATTTAACCAAGTATTGTGTTATAATACAACTACATTCTTACTCGACCACTTAATTACTAAACAATTTAACTTAACAAGTTTACTTGAAAGTTTATTTATCTTTTCGAGCTGTTTTTGCATCTATTGTTGAGGATAATATTTGTGATTTGAGTACGATAGTGGAATAATCATGTCGAATAATTTTACAGAAATCAAATACGATTTTTTATACGCAAATAAGCTAACATATCGATTCTTATATCGAATATTGAGATTTTATTATATAATACATGCTTCATGGGATTAGATGAGATAACATGGAATTTGTAAGGTTTAAAATTATCAATTTAATCAATTATTTCATGAACTTTTTTACTTTAATCAACAATGAAAAGAATCGCCAAACTTGTGAGAATTAATCGTTAACCAGAACTACAGCGATATTAAATTCACACGATTTTCAACTTCACTCAATGACTGCTCCATTCATTTAGATGTTAGTACTATGATTGTGCGACCAGCTTTGATAACAAAAGTTTTTTGTACTTTAGTTATATTCACCGGTTCATCTAATTCAATTGTCAAAGTTGTCGGTAACGATTAGTTGAATATTAAAGGAGAGATTTTTTTGATTTTAAAACAATTAATGGTAGCTGGTTTAGTCTCATTTTAAGGTTGATGATCAATAGTCGTATTTTTACAATACCTAACTAAATTCATGGGACTAATGGCATCGGATCTCAAGTGATCAATAAGGCATTAGAATCAAATGATTACTTAATACTTACATAATACTTACAAATTACTTTGATAGAGAAGAAACGTTTCGTATATTTGTCATAGATTTTGATATTCCTAGTGGCAATTGATTTCAATTTGTTTTTCGAGGTTTCTTTGATTTCTTTGGTTTCTTTGGTCTCGCTAATTCTTCCAGTTTATCCATTGGCTTTGAGTTCAATTGTTTATCCACTTTCCTTGTTGACAGTTCGTTCGATGATTTAACCAATTTACCCGTTGAATTGAAGTTGAATTTTCGATTAATTTTAACCAATGGATTTGAAATCAAAGCCCTAAATAAATTACTCAATAGTTCTTTTGATTTAGTTGGGTTGATTTGGGTTCGTGTATCCATTTGAGGTGATATTGGAGGTTCAACAACCATTATAGATTCTTGACTAGCAACAAGTTTTTTCGTATTTTTTGACTTCTTCTCTTGGATTTCTTCTTTTCTCTGAAATTATCTGACTGCCTCTTACCATGCTTTGTACGAGCTGGCTTTTGATTCAATGATTTAACCAGTTTACTCGATGATTTCATTGATTTAGCTGATTCGGTGCGGGATTGTGCATTCATTTTAGGTAATATTCTTAGATCAAAAGGCTTAATAGACCTTTGGATTTCAACATGTTTGGTAGCCTTCTTTAGAGCAGCAAATATTTTGAGCCGATCCAATCGTTGCTTATTCCACTGATTATAAGCTAAAAATAAAAATGCACTCAGAAGCAAACTTGCAAATAATATAAATACTATTGCAAATGTATTCGTAGCATTGGGTGCAGAAATATTAACCTTATCGACAGATGCAGCGCTCATTCTATAAACATCTGCATATTTATCGTTGACCAGATTTAAAACGATATTAAATTCGCCCGACTCAACCAACTTCAAAGAGCATTTAATGACTGCTTCATTCGTTTTAATGTTGGTACAACGATTATGTGGACCAGCTCTGATCATAAGAGTTTCTTGTGATTTATTTATAAGCAGCGGTTCGTCTAATTCAATCGTCAAAGTTCTCGGTAACGATGAGTTGAATATTGAAGGTGAAATGTTGATTATTTTGAAACAGTTATTGGAATTTGATTCAATCTTGATTTTGGGTTGATGAATAATAGTTGTATTTGTGCAAATTGAATTTGACCAGACACAGTCAATACTGGAACCATACATAAAGCACTGAGTGCAAGTTTTGAGAAGACTACAAAGTGGAGTACCCCAGGTTCCATTGATTTGATTAGACACGTTTGTTAAGTAATAGCCTTCGAATGGATGTTTATTGATATGGAAAATCTTTACGGAACCACTAATGAAGTCTTGCCAGAGTTTGGATTTATTGTACGAAAAAAGATGCACCACGATAGGAGCAAAAGGAGAAACTTTTGTGTAAATAAATAAGACATTAAAATAAAATGGAAATGGTAGTGAGTAGTATAGTATACATTTGTAACACTCCACCTTACAGGCGGAGCGTTACAAATGAAACTGAACTTCTGATAAAAAACCTTAACGATTATTTTCAAATTAAAAAATTATTTTTGAAAATCGCTCTTTTTTCAAATCCCTTTCTCAACATCACCAAGACAACGAAAAAACCGTTGAGGCTCATCTGACTCTGCCATCACCAACTGTTTGCATAATTTTTCTTGCTGTTGCATTTAATTAAATTTTTATTTAATTCAATTCAATTTTAATTGTTTTGTGTGAAAACATGTTTACCAGTTACTGGAAACTCGTAATTCTATATATTGTTATATTTTTTAGCTCAAACAGAGCTTCAGTTGCCAATTCTGAGGATAAACTCATAGGTATGTACCTAATTGCGTGTGTATTACTAAGTATAAGGCTTTAATTGTTTTCTTCTTATTTCAGCGATATACACAGGCAAAGAAAATCATTTTAATTGTGAAAATGAAGTCCAAATTTACGAGAGCGATTGTGTATATGAGATCAAGGGGCTAAAAATAGAAATCAATGCTGGCAGAAGATGCAAATTGAGATTCGGCTGCAACTCCACAATTTTCTTGGCTATGTGTTGTGAGTTAATCAGAGGAATAATTCGTTATTTATTTAATTCAATCTCATCTAATTAAACCGAATCAAATTAAATTGAATTGAATTTCTATTCCAACATAGGTTTTGCGGACCGTATAGAGATCAAGCAAATCTCGCAAAAAACCATGCCTGTATTGAGTAGTGAACCACCAGAAATTAAATTAACGGATAACCAAAAAGGCTCTTTATTTAATTCAAAAATTGAAGAAAATTTCATTCGCGTCAAAATGGATGGTACGTTCAAGCTGTTGCTGGTTCTTTTGATTTTAATATTGATGGTCCTGTTAACAAGTATTGTTTTTTGCAAAATTTGGTGCCTAAAAAGAATGATAGCTTCAGAGCCAAATACATATGCTGTATTCAAAGATAATGTAGGTTAATTCAAAAATTATTTAATTCATTATTAATTTAATTTAATTATTCAGCTCCAGGTTCAGAATCGGGATATGAAAACACCAGCAAACAGTGAGGCCCTGAAAAAAAACGAAAATTTGATAAATTTAAATCAAAAGATCCAGGCAATAAGCGATATTGGAGAGATTGACTGCAGCGATATTCCATTAAAAGTTTGATTTGCAAACAAGCTTGTTCAATAAGAAGTCAATTAAATTGAATTCAATTCAATTATTTTCACATTGGTCAAAACTACTTAAACTGTTTACTTAATAAATACGTATTATTCTAATTCATAAACATTGTAAGTGTACGTATTTTTATCAAAATGAAATAATTTTACCTGTTTATTGGTTATTCATTGGTGGTTCACTGGTTATTACAGGATTATTGACTTCTTGGACCGGAATCGAACAAAGAGATTCACCGTCACTAGATAAGCAGCAAAATTTCCTGAATTTCAGTATCTTCAAATCATCATTGATTTCATTCATCTTTGTTTTGACGAATGTGTTGTTTTCGGTGACATGTTTTTTGATAATTTCAATTTCAAGAGTTAATTTTGAAATTATTTTCAAGATATTTCTTGATGTTTCTTTAACATCATCAAAATGCATGTCAACTCGTCTTGACAGGCCAGCTCGATGTTTGGTTCTTTTGATGTTCTTTTTAAGATTCACCAAATCTTTGCCTCTTGAATTAGAGTTCACAAAATTTTGTTGTCTGTTAGTTGAAGGTTGATGATTTATAAGGTTTTCAGGCCCGATTGGTTGCTTGTTTGAGGTCACTCTAGTGATTGTTGTTTTAGGTTTTTTAGGGATCGGTTGATTCATAATTAGACACAAAGTTATGATGAAACTTAAAATAATTTCAGGCACAGTCAAATTGAATTGAATTGAATGATAATAAATTAAATAAATTAAATTAAATTAAATTAAATTAAATTAAATTAAGTTAAATTAAATTAGTAATCACTTGAAAGTTAGTGGTGGAACGACGTCTTAACTATAACTTGGTTATTTGAAATGTGATTTTACAGTCACAAGGACAAAGATAGAGTTGCTTGGACCTAACATCATTTGCCAACAACAATAGAATTTCGTTGTCAAATAGAGGGTCTCAAAGATGACAAGTTTAACAAAAGAAAGGTTTTTCTAGGATTTTTTTACAATGACCTACTAATTACAAAGGCCTTCAATCTTTATAAGAGTTAATATGAATTTAGTTGAAGGGTCAAAATTTTCCCAACAAATTTTACATTTTGAACAAAACTATTATTGTCATTATTGAATTGAACAATTATATACATATTTAACGCTGGAAAACCAAGATAACAAAGAAATTTGCGTTTGTTATTCACAATAAGTAAAATTTTACTTACTCTTTACTCGAATTAAAGGAATTTTGTGCCTGAATTTTTGATGGAGAATACATAAAAATTAAATATAATTCAATAATAATTTTCAAATGTCAAATCTTGATACAATTGGAGCTAGTTTGTCCAGGCATTCTGCAACAGCAATTGTATAGTTTATTTTACTGTGACACATAATGTAATGTTAAGAAAAGATAAACTTTTCTTGAGCTAAATTCAATTCAATCGAGTTAAATGAAATTCAATTTAAAATTATAACAAAGATGAAAGTCATGAATACACTAAATTCAGCTATCGTATCTATACTAGGTCTTCATTGTGAGAATATTATGTTGATATTTACAAAGAAAAACAGTTTATGAAGATGACAAGTTTGAAGTTGCATTCAATTTGCATTTCAAAGTGATGATAATTTTCAAAGGTATCCAGGCCTGTATATTAGAATAAGTTAACTCTACTTGTGTTAAGTTTTTCAAATTGATTTTGGTGATAAACGAAAACACTTATATAATAGAAGCCTTTAAAAATTAAATTGAATATAAATAATAATAATAAATAATAATATTAGCGCTGTAACTATTACAAAATTTAGTAGAACCAATAGCTTCATAGATGGGATGAACTTGGGCTGTTTTTTAGCTGTTAGATTGCTATATAAAGAGACAAATTTGAAGCTAAAATCATTCATTACAACATGAAATCCTTTGGCTCGATGGCCAGGTCTTAGCTCTCGGTAGCTACAACATGAAATCCTTTGGCTCGATGGCCAGGTCTTAGCTCTCGGTAGCTACAACAAGAAATCCTTTGGCTCGATGGCCAGGTCTTAGCTCTCGGTAGCTACAACATGAAATCCTTTGGCTCGATGGCCAGGTCTTAGCTCTCGGTAGCTACAACAAGCAATCCTTTGGCTCGATGGCCAGGTCTTAGCTCTCGGTAGCTACAACACGAAATCCTTTGGCTCGATGGCCAGGTCTTAGCTCTCGGTAGCTACAACAAGCAATCCTTTGGCTCGATGGCCAGGTCTTAGCTCTCGGTAGCTACGAATAAAGTTACGTAGCTTTGATTGCTGTAGCTTTATTCTGATATTGATTCATAGTTAGAGTACTTGTTAATTTTTGATTACAGTTCTAAATCTTTTGTCTTTTTGTCTTTTTCTCTCCGTAGGTTGATCCATGTCGCTGAAGGTGAAAATCATTTCTAGAGGTGTTTCTTTCTCGTCAGTTGAACAATCTTCATTTGGTCTAAGCCTGTATTGTCTTAAAAAATTTGAAATTAAAGCGAAAGGTTATATCACATTGAAAACCGGAATCTGTGTTGGCTTTGACGAAGGTTATTACGGCCAAGTAGTTGCTGATTGTCCTCCATCTGCATTAATTACGGCTGTTGGTGGTATTATTAAGCCTAATAATAGAAGCGAAGTCGAAGTCGTTTTATTCAATCTTGGTAGGAAAACATTTACAGCAAGAAAAGGTGAAAGAATCGCTCAACTAATCGTTAAACAATTCTCCAACTGTGAAAGAAAAAAAGTTAGATCGTTATATTACAATCTTCGCGCCCTCTAGCTCTACATTTTATCATTGAAATGGAATTCGATAACCTTATGTTTGCACTAATTTCGCGTGGTACAGGAACTCTGGCCAACAAGACGAAATCCATCAGAATAATGAGAACAACGCAAGAGTCTGATGATGAGGAAAAACCTAAAGCATGGTTGAGCATTGATCTAAGGATATGGCAAAAAGATGGGACTTGGACTCCAACAGGTTTGAGACTTAAATCAAATGAGCTCAAAAAGTTGAAAGATTTGTTTAATGATCAACACTCTGTAAGATCTTTTACAAACAATGCTTATTATCGCAGATCTTTTCATTTAATTGAAGATGAAGATGATAATGCAACTACTACTTTCGCAGTCCTGCTCGAAAAAGACAAGGTTTCTGGAATTATGCTTACTAAAAAAGAGATAGATAGGCTTTGTAAAATTATTCCAGCTATGACATACTTCATCGACAACTTTGATCCTGATGTTGAAGCATGTAAAGAAATTTTACTCAATTGTATTGTTTACAATCTTCATATTCAAGCAAAGGCTTTAATGAAAAAAGATTGTAAAGCTTGCAATCAGAAGGGGAAAAACGATGAAATTGAAGTTCTTTCACCTGCTGATCATTCCTGTAACAGTATCATCAGAGCCGATATCGACAACTCAAAATGGTTTGACGAATTGTTCACTAATAATGTGATAGATAAAGAAAGCCACACACTTTTCATTAAAGTGATGAACTTTTTTGAGCTTTCAAGGACTGCTGCGATAGATCATATTGTTGATCATTACAGTAACCTTAAAAAGGACATGTATCTCCGCACAGCTGTTAAAACAGTATTGAACGATGATAGGTCAGATTGTTTTGAGCTTGTCTACGGCATTGCAACTGAAAACTTATTAAAAGATGTTCCTCATCCTGCTTCTCTTTCCCCACAGAAACGTAAGCGATGATCACGCAATCCAAAGCGTAACTCATATATTGATACTAAATAATTATTTTAAATTTTGATTCCATTTCTTATTTATAATATTACACATATAATAATCAATTTACATTTTGCTTACATCTTTAAACATATAATTTTTGAATAATAATAATACTATTATATACTAAAACTATTATAATTACATGACGATATATAATTAATCATAACGCATAATCATTATCCATAAAATTGTAAAAAACCAAAAAAACCAAAAAATTTGCAAAAATACAAAAAAAACTAAAAACAATAAAAACAATAAAAAATTTCCATATTTAAAATGCTTGAATATCAATTTTTATCCTCAAATGAGCGAAGGAATGATGATTGGAATTACATAGAGATAACGCGCACTGTTAGAATTACTTATGATGGTGAAGAACGAATAACTGCATTAGAAGAATTGATAAGAGATATAGAGGAAACGTTATTTGCTGTAATCTCTAGTATTGATTATGATGTACAACCAGAAGACAGAATAAGAATAGCCATCAAAAATGAAAGTCTATCTCATGACATCTGGGTATCATTCAAAAAGGGTTCTCAATTAACAAGAAATGTTATATTTAATGCTATTTTCAAAGTTTGTCAGTCAAAACTTGAATTTTTAATTGAAGGTATTTTAATCATTGATATTGTTATTATAAAAATGCCATCAGGAGGGGGTCATAAAAGAAAATATGGAGTGACAGATTTAGCATCGTACGAGAGACTTTCTCCAAAAACAATAAAAATTGAGAAGGATGGTTTATGCTGTGCAAGATCTCTAATTGTTGGTAAAGCTATAGCAGATAAAGTCACTGGCAATGATTGGCGCAGAATTAAAGATGATGTTGGCCGTCAACAGAAGGATGCAGCAGAGAAGCTGTGTAATTTAGCCAATGTTCTTCCCTACACAAATTGTGGAATAGAAGAGTTACAAAAGTTTCAAAACGTACTTTCAGGTTATAGAATAGTAGTAACAGATGCTAAGACTAAGAAAATAATATTTGCCAGTGATCCTGATAAAAACAATATTTATCTAATTTATAATGATAATCATTATTTTCCAACGAGATCTATGAAGGCATTTTTAGGTTATGAATACTTCTGTAGTTATTGTCTGATAGGGTTTAGGGAAAAAACACAACATCATTGTCAGTCAATTTGTAAAAAATGTTTCACTGAATCACAGTGTCAGTTAATTGAACTTAAATACTGTAATGAATGCTGCAGGGAGTTTAATAATGTAAATTGTTTTGATAATCATATACAGAATTCAATTTGCTCAAAACTAAAATTCTGTGAGCTATGCAAAAGAACTTATCGATCGAAGAAGCAGCATAAATGT